TCTTGTAACAGCAGCACAAACAGCATACAATTAGGAGAAATGGAACTAATCCCCCAAATGAAATAACAACTTGGAATTCGGTACTGAAGTCTTTTACACCAGCTCTTTGAAGAATTGCAAACTGTGGAAGGAAAATTGGAATACTATTAGGTATTGCTGGAAGCTGAAAGAAGTGAAACTGTATCTTCTTATCTTTGTGAAGGATTGATGATGATGATGATGATGATGATGATGATGATGATGATGAGTAAGAGGAAGAGGAGGAGAAGGAGAAGAAGAAGAATATAGAAATTATTTAAAATTCAGAGCTTACTCTTATTACTGCCAACATAATCTTTTCCATACATCTACATGAGTTTAGTTTATTCATTGTTTTTACATATTGATGGCTCCAGAAGCACTTAATCACCAACTAGCCATTTACAAGTACTGCATATCACACCTGTTTCCCTGTTTCCTTGATTTTCTAAAATATATTGTTTTATATTCCTATTAGTAATATCTATAACATTATTATAATCATAATGTCTATAATAATAATAAAAATAATAGTACTGATATTGATATCATTATTAACCCATTGCCACCGGGGATGGCATGTATGTACATGCCATGCCCACTGTGAGTCGATTTGTTTGATTGTTTTAACACATAGATGTACTAAGTCACCAATGAGCCAATTACGAGTACCGCCTGTCTCGCCCATTCACCCTTTTCATCGATTTACAAAAATATTTTACGTTATCTTAATTTGCTGTTAAAAATAATACCATCTATATTTATAGCACTAGTAAGAATACGTTTTTTCCCGCCAATTCAAGGAAAGGTGAAATCAGGACTAGCAGAGCCATCTATCTATGTGAGATATTTCACAAAAATATAAAAAATGAGTACAGCATTTTCCCCATTTTTTGTTCATTTTCCCCAGCGGCAATGGGTTAAAAGACATTTTTTTCCCATAAACTCAAGGAAAAGTGAAATCAGGTGAGGTTATGAAGTCTACTAATTGACTACTCAGTGACTAAGCACTCGATGCCATCTATGTGTAGAGACATTTCACAAAGTTAGTTCAGTAGGAAATGTTTACCCAGTGTTATTGGGTTAATAAAAGCCCAATTCTTGTTTGACTATACTAGTATTATTTTAGTCTTGCAAGCTACATTTATCTGGAATATTTGGCTAAATAGTTTTTTTGTTTGTTTTTTTTTCACTGGTTACTTATTATACTGTGATTTAATGAAAGAGGTGGTGGTTATGATTACATAAATTCGAAGCTACCAATTTAACTTTAACATTATTTTGTTAAGCAAACTACAATAACTACCTAATTTGTAAAATCACAGGTTTTAAAATCTGGAAAATTATATTTTTCAACTTAACAAACTTCCATGTTCTGAATTTTGAAAGTTAAAACAAATTTAAAATTAGTTCCTTTTACCATTTACCACGATGCTTTCATTTTATACTATTTTCAGCTAATATATCATATACTCAGAGAGACATGTACATATGTAGTTATACTGAATCTTTATAAAGCATTTCTAAATATTTCAAATGGTAGGCAACAGCAATGAAAAGGTCATACATATTTCATATATCCATCAAAGTAAAACTTACAATGCTATTCTTATCAATTATGCCAGAATTACTTTTTTGGATCTGCGACTGCCATGATGCTGCATATGAATTCTTCTTTACACCGACTGAAGTGAAGCCTAGGTCTGAGAAAATGTAAATAATTGTAAATATGGTAAAGAGACAGGATCTGTGTATTCTCAATTTCTGCAGAACACTGATTTGTGAAATGGTTATACTTACCATCTCGTATTTTGCGTGCTATAGGAAGCATTATTACCATCCAGAACAACAATGTTAAAACTGCAGCAATACCAAATGCAATCTTTAAATTCTTTTTTGTCCGGAACAGACTCTGATAACAACACTGGGGCTCTTTTATTTGGGGCTGCAAAATTTCTATGTCAATGACTTTCTGATTGTTTAACAAAAGAGGATGACTTGTATTATCATTCCTCTTAGTTCTGCTGCCATCAACCGGAGAGTCATTGTCAATGTCACTGCATTCCTGTTCACCATCATGCTCTCTCCTTTTGGCACCAGTGTCCTTCTTTTTCCTCTGTGGGCTGGCACTGTCATCACTGTCTTCCTTGCCAGAACTAAGGTCCTCATCATCATTTCTCTTTCTAAAATCCTCATCATCACTTTCACTTTCCAAGCCACTGCCCTTGCCACTATCATTATCACTATTAACTTCTTTGTTACTGCTACTTTTCCCTTGATCACTCTCATCACCATCTTCTTTCCGGGATGCACAGGAGTTACTCTTAACATTACTCTCCTTTCTACTCTTAACAATTTTCTTTGGAAAATGTTTTTTTCTAGCTCCACCCACTTGTCTGCTGCAGGAACCATCTGTCTTAACACACCTATTGTCTCCCTGAAATTGAAGAGTATCATTTAGTAAAACAAGTCTAGTTCATGG